GGAGAGGAGCCGGCTCCATCACCCACAGAGCCAGCAGCATGGCAGGGCAGCAGTAAGGGCTGGTTTTTCCTTCCTTCCTTCCCTCCTTCCAGAGAGCAAATGCCGCTGGCCGGGCTGTCTCCTTCTGGCTGCCAGCTCCGTCCTCAGCCCTTCTTAAGCTCTGCAGGAACCGCCCCTGTGAGCCCCGGCCCCCGGGGCCTCTGGGACCTTCCAGCTCAAGGGGTATTTCCAGAGGGAGGTTTTCTGATTTTCTTCCAAGGTCAGCTCCTGCACAACACCCAGGGCCGCGCCAGCAGCACCAAACCTGGGAAAGCCCTTGGCCCGAAGGGTCCTCGCACGGCTGCAGGGACCCCCCCATCACCCCCACCGAGATCACTGCGGGAACCGCCATGACGGGAGGAACCCGTCCCCAAGCCCTGACCGCCCCGAAACGCGGAGTTTGGAAAGGCGCATCCCCAGGGCAGAGGGAGGAGGTGTCCAGCGCCAGGCTGGGTGCTGCTCAGCAGGGCTGCAAACAGCATTTATTCCCAGAACAGCATGTCTTCAAGGATGAAAGCGGGTGTTCCTGGGAGGGTCAGGTTTATGGTATAAATGGAGAAAGTGTTACTACATGGAAGATGTTGATTACCCCACATTATCTAGCCCCAAGGCCCTGGCACAGCCTTAGCGCCTGTCCTGTCTCATGACAGGTCTGGCATCGCTTCCTTGCTCCTGCCCAGCATCCCGGGAAGAGACGGTCCCAGTTCTGCCCCATCCCGCCAGGCTGCGGCCGGGGCTGGGGAAGGTGCCGCAGGGCTGAGGGGGAGGACGTGCCCAGCCGTGCACCTCCTGTTGCAGAGGGTGGAAATTCGGCACAGGACCCGGCCATTTCCCATCTGAGAATTCTCAGGAGAGGCAGCTCCAGGCACTGGGCATGTCGCGCATCCTTTCAGGAGGCCAGGTAATTAATCCTCTGACAGCCTGGGAGGCCTCCGAGCAAGGGAAGTGCTCTATAAACAGCCACCATCAAATATGCACATTCAGCTAAAGCCGGGTGATTAACGGCTCTGGGGTTTTTGTTCCTTCCATCCTGTGTTAACAGAGCCACTTCCCGGAGTTTACAGTGGCGGCCGAAGCCCCCGGCCCAGCCCTGGCGTGGGACAAGCTGTGGCCAGGGCTGCTCCCCACGCTGGCCGGGCTCTTCCCAGCAGCGATCCCGGGACGCCCAAGGACGCACACATGATACCAGGGTTTCACCTCCCGGTCCCACAGCCCAGCTCCACGCCACCCACTCGGATGCCCGAGGCCGCCCCGTTGGTCGGTCCCTCCGTGGGTGATGGAGCGGTCAGGGCTGCCCAGGCTGCACACCCACAGCGGTTTACAGAGGGGGCAAGCACCAAGCCATGAGTTACTTCATTAGGGGAAGGATTGCTTTGTAATGTCACCAACTAAGAGTTTAAAGAAGGGAAATACCGTCCTCACAGACCACACTCGCTGTTATGGGATTTTTGGGGCAGGAGGGGCAAAACACAGTTAAAAAAGTAAATTATCCAAGCCCTGGAAGCCGCCCTTGGCCGGGGTCTGGTTGCAGTTTTCAGCTGGGGCTTCTGCGATGATGGACCAACACTGACAGGTCCTGGAGGATCAGTCCCAGCTTTTCGGCACCCACCGGCTGCAGTGGCTGCCAGGTCCGTGCCTAGTGCCTGGGGCT